AGAACATTTTTTGGAGGTCGACGGTGATTGAAAAGAGGCTTATTTTTCTGTGTCTGTTTCTTGCTTGCTTTAGGTGGTGTGGTGTTGACAAAGCAGAACATTTTTTGGAGGTCGACGGTGATTGAAAAGAGGCTTATTTTTCTGTGTCTGTTTCTTGCTTGCTTTAGGTAATCTCCTGAACAGAGGGATTTTTGGGAAGGGTAGTGAAGGAGACGAACGGAGCCTGGTCCCGTGGGTGGGATCCCTCCCTTCCGATCTGGATCTACCTCCTCCTAAAAATTCCGCCGTGGGTGTTTCTGTTATTTTCTGTTGATTTTGTTTAGAACTGTGTTTAAGTTTGTATGTGTTTCCTTGGAAAATGAATGAAAAAAATCAACAAAAATTGTTCAGTTTATTTTCTGATGAATGTGTTTGCTGTTACTGGAAATTACATTAATCTTAGTTTTCCCGCTTTGGTTGCATGTTTGATCTTCTTTTTATCTGTTTTTATGTTGGTGAATTGTTTCGTGTTTTTGGGTCAAGTTAACCCAACCCGATCTAGTTTCGTCTGTCATAAAAAAAAAATAAAAAAAAAAACTAAAAAGGTTAAAAGGTAAAAAAAAAAATCAAAAGTTATCTATTTTATTTCAACTTTCACGTTTAAGCAGTTTAGTCTAAAAGTTTTAAACCTTTTCAAATCAGTCTTTTATTTTTATTTTAATCAAATCAGTCCATTTAATTCTTATTTGTGCTTATTGTGCATACATGTCTTTTATTTTGTCCATTTTTAGTCCAAAAATTAAAAAATGTTTCAATTTGGTTTATCCTTTTTTAAGTTTCCCTATTAAGACTTAAACATAAAGATAATAAATAAGTTGAATTAAAACCCCCAATGTTAAAGTATGCAACCGTGTTTAAACGGAGGATTGTGAGGTGCGCATATGCCCTTCCTATTCCTAACCGAACCCCCGAACCTCGATCTCTGTGCAGACTCGTTTTAGGTGACTTGTCCCACCTTATAATTTGGACGAGTGGCGACTCCCCTCTTTTTTATATTTTTCATACCATGATTTTTTCATTTATTTTGAAAAAAAATCTTAAGTGGTCGTCAACAGATTGGCGACTCCACTGGGGACTGAATCCAGAATCTCTGGTTTTCATGTTCTAGATTCACGAGGGTCGAGCTAATACTTTAACTTTGGGGAATTTTTCAGCTTTTGATTTTTCTTTTGTTTGTTGAGTCTTTGTGGGTCTTTGTTACTCGTTGCATGTGCTTCTTGTTTGTTCTTTGTTTCTTGTTGTTTTGATGATTGCTTTATTATTTTGCTTTTGAGTAGTTGTTTGGCTACATCTTAGCATGCATCATATTTTGCTCACATGTTCATGCATCATATCATCTCACATACACATCCATCGTTGATGTTATATGCTTATTCATCATGCATCATGCTCACATGCCTGTTTGTTTGTGTGTGAATATACTCACCTTTTACACTTGGCTATGGAGTACCTAGTGAGTCTCTTCTCTTTTGTGCGATTATTACACCTTATTGCATGTTAAATGTTAGTTGCGTTGTGTTACTAACCTTTTGCATTTGGCATGGGAGTACTAGGTGAGTCCCTTCCTGCTGTGTAAATAGGTGTGTTTGTGGATGCTACATCTGTTGAGTGTTTTATATGTTTTACTTTATTGCTGTGGAATATATGTTGTTATTTTGTGGTTGTCATTATGCAAGTTATTGGAATGTCATGCCCCTTGCACACACTCACTCTCATTTTGCATTAGGTCCGTGTCTGAGGTGAACCTGACCTCTAGTCTGGAATCCTTATGAATCTGGCTTGGAAGAGCAATTCTTCCCGCTTTGAGGAGTAAGATCGGTCCTTGTTAGGTTGTTTCCATTGGTTAATACGACACTTGATGATGTAATATCGTTCTGTGTATTAGCTTTTGGAAATATCTCCCATTGATTTTGAAAAGATAAATGGTTGAGAAGGCCTAATGCCCTTTAGGAAAGCATGTAGTGAACTTAAAGAGAAACCACCCATAGGACTTGTTAGCCTAGAAAGCCACCAGTGAGGTTAGGATTCCCTGTGTCTAGGTACACAATGGGGCATTTTTCATCTTACCTTACTTTCTACACTTGCAGGTATTCATTGAGTCAACCATGTCAAGTATCATGACATCCATCACATTCATTCACGCACTTTGCCTTTCACTTTCTACTCAATACTACATGACACCATGCACTTTGGCATTTTCACTTTCTATTCCATACATCATTAAAAAAAAAATTTGCATAATTGTTTTACATGTCATCAACCTTTCACATGTCGTACGTTCATTACATTGCATTTTCCATCCCATGCATCACAAAATATGTTTTCATGTTCATTTCACGTGACATTCTCCATTTCATTTTCATCTCATATTTCAAAAAATTTCAAAAAAAAAAAAAGAAAAAAAAAAAGAAAAAAAAATGAAATTTCATCCATGTTCATTACATTACATCTT